AAAAAATAAATTTGGTCTAAACGTTTTAGTGGATCACGGACATAACTCGATGGACTGCCATACAGCAATGAAGGTTTAAGTGGGTAATGCTCGTACAAAAATGGAGGTCTGTTATGTTGAGATTTGTTGATGCCTAAGCGGCTATTGTGCAAAGCCAAAGCAAACGGCTTGTGTGAATCCGGAAAATGTGGACGGTGACTTCCTTTGGATGTCAGTTGAGGTATTGTAGATTGTTCCTGAGATTGGCCTCCTTGTTTACCATGATTTTGTCCGAATTTAACAGAAGCATCCAGAGTATTTCGTGATTTGCTGCTTTCTTTGCACGATATGCTGTTTTTTGTAGAATCCATTTGGACATTTAACCTACAAGGCTCGTTTGGTCTTAACATTAATTATTTTAGCAAACAATTTTCATTATATCCATATTATTTTTAAAAAATATGTGTACACAAACAATGATTACCGTAGTTTCAAGCTGCTGATATATTTATCGCACTAAAGAAGCATTTTCCGTGCAGTTTATTCCGTAGATGTTGCTGTTCGCAAATAGTTCTCACGACTTAAAAAAAAAATAATAATAATAATTTATGTATACTTGTTTTTAAACAGTACTTCAAATTGAAACACGACAGTAAAATTGTTATCGATTATACATAAAACGGAAAGTATAAAATTTCATCCTTATTTTTTTTATCATGGAACCATGTTCTAGGACACTGAATAAATTTTTCTTAAGTTTTAACTTTTCAAGTAGTGAAGATAAGTTATAAAATGTAAACTAAGATATTTCGTACCTTATGGGTATAGCGAAAGACATGGACAGTTCCGAAGTAAAAAAGGCTAAATCGCCGTCCCCATTGACTCTGCAATTTTCGGCAGCATCTCATTAGCAAAATTCGACACACTAAAGGAATAGAATGTTCTGGAGCTCCAAAATGAGCTTCGAATTACTCCTCAAAAATCCGGAATGTCGAAGTTAGGCTGTATCCACCTAAACCCCGGTCGGATCTCAGGAAACATCGTGACAGGCTTTTATTGGGGGGTTGCTACTCCTCCCCAGCCTAACGAATGACCCAAAGTTAGCCGAAAACCAGCATGGATTCCAGAAAAAGCACACTTCCACGGCGGGGTATTGAGCGCCATAACCACTCAGATTAGCGAAGGTATGTAACAACGACTACCCTGTGATAGGTCGTTCCTAGTCGTAGTTGACCTTTCCAAGACATTCGACACGTTGACGTGGAACTACAACTTGTTTTACGAAGTATTCTATAACAGACAATTGTAAAAAAGTTAATATTCCACAGTGAAAGACTCGAGCCTCTTCCCAGACATCCTGGCCTCGTCGCTTTCAGCTGGGAGAAACGGTGAGTTACCAGCTATCTGTATGGACGTCAATCATCAATCAAATTTCGTTACGCCACATAATTAGCTGCACTGATGATTGTACGAAAATAGTAACGGGCCGAATCATTGACAGCCTTTGCAGGAAGATGACCGACTATCCCACCGATCTATTTAACTTCTTCACTGCCAAAACCCTTAAAATATCCGCCGTGAAAGATATCACTACACTGTTCACCACATGGAGCAAGTAGAAGATCAGGCTCGCGCTAGTCGTCGTTTACGATGGCACCAAAATACTGATAATCAACATCCTGGGAGAGACGTGTGATAGGCTGTTATATTCTGCGTATGTCTCAGCCACCTTCAACAAATTACAAGCCAAGAGCAAAGTTCTGTAGACTCTAGCCGGCAGCACCTAGGCTCTGCTCACGACTTTCCAAGCAATCGTGCTGGACAGTGTGGTGGACAGGACGAGCCACGTGCAATGTACAAACATTCGAGTACGCAGATCTACGTATGACTAAAGGCTGTTACCTTATATCGTTCTAGTAGCATCTCCACGAAAAAATCCAGATACTGGTGATGAAAAAACACAACACTATGTTATCGAAGCAACTCCTCGCGGTATGCTACCGTGAAAACCACCCCAACAACGCTCTGCTTCGGAACGATTGGAGAACGGATGCTGAACCGTACGTAAACAATCCGTTCGGTACAGTGAGCTACAGAGCGGAGTCCAACCACCTATACAGCGATGCGGTCAGAACGATACAAGATCGTCGACCTGCTCATAAGCATAGAAAAAGCAAAGACCAGATGGCACAACTTCGAGTGCCGCAAAAAAAGGAGCAACTAGTAACCCTTACAGGATACACTTTATGGGACTATTTTATTGCTTTGTTTTAATTCATCCGCAGAACTATGTGTGGCCACTTAAGGGCAATTTACATTTACTAAGTCTCGGCGACTTTTTCCGAAAACAAAAAGTAGAAAATTCCATCTTCCTTTCTCTTGAAGATATAAGAAAACAGGGGACTTATTTTTGAGTACTTGACAATATAGACCTTTTGAGCCCGGTCTATTTAAAACTTGTTGAAAGTATTACACACCCAAACACCCAGTCTATTGCCTTTAGTGTTATTTGTGCTTTCATATTAATGCATAGTTTTTAGCACAAGATTCATCGTAGTCTAATGACTGATCTTGAAATCCCAAATTTGATTTTCAGCATATATGTATATTAAATGTCACTCCCAATCATGTCCATAGCTTACTCTAATGCATCGCTTCTCTCTAAATCTTCTTTTCAGAAATTATTCAACTAGTCAAAGGTTATACAGAACTAACAACCCAACCATTTCGTCCCTATGTCGACGAACATGATGGTTATCTTGATATTAACAATCTCATGATCAAATGTTGGTCCGAAGACCCCTTGGAACGTCCCGACTTCAATGCACTCAAATCGATCATACGTCGAATAAATAAGTGAGTATAATCAGCAACTAAGTAAGTTTCTAACTCATCATTCTCATCTTTCTCATTCTAGGGATAACGAAACCGGCAACATTGTCGACAATTTACTCAAGCGCATGGAACTCTATGCCAATAACTTGGAAGAGCTTGTCGAAGAGCGTACACAAGACTACATTGAGGAGAAGAAGAAATGTGAGAAGCTGCTATACCAACTCTTGCCGCAAAGTGTTGCAGCTCAACTGATTAGCGGTCAGCCAGTAGTTGCCGAAACTTTCGATCAAGTAACCATTTACTTTAGTGATATAGTTGGATTCACCGCCATATCTGCGGAGAGCACACCCATGCAGGTGGTACAGTTTCTAAATGATCTCTACACCTGCTTCGATTCCATTGTTGAGAACTTCGACGTCTACAAAGTGGAAACTATTGGCGACGCTTACATGGTTGTGTCTGGCTTGCCCATAAGGAATGGCAATCAGCATGCACGCGAAATAGCGCGACTAGCATTAGCGTTGCTAAACGCAGTGCGCAAATTTAAAATACATCATCGACCGCAAGATCAACTAAGACTACGAATCGGACTTCATAGTGGCGCGTGCGTTGCGGGTGTTGTCGGACTCAAAATGCCACGATATTGTCTCTTTGGTGACACAGTAAATACAGCGTCACGCATGGAATCGAACGGCGAAGCGCTACGCATACACATCAGTGAAAGCACCAAATTGGCGCTAGATGAATTTGGTACCTTCATAACAACACAACGTGGCTATGTGCCCATGAAGGGCAAGGGCGAAATGCTCACATATTGGCTGGAAGGTGAGGTACCTAAGCCAGAGTCCCCCTCGATGCTGTCGCAACAATTACCACTCTCGCGACGTTCATCACTCAAGCATCCACCTCAACGCTATGCCGTAATGATGCAAAAACAAAATTCAGAGATCTCAACACAAAGAACACAGATATCACCGCCTGCGATAACCCAGCAGCACCATAGTGCAGTTACAACGCCGACGTTGCGTGTTAAACGCAAAATATCCTCGTCATCACCTAAATTAAATGGAAACGAATTCAAACCGGAAGACTTCAATTACTACCTGGACAACGATAAGCAGTTTAACAAAGGCCACAACGGTCTGGCCATCTGTAAGTCGCCTGGTCTGTGTGCGGACATCTACAGCAGTCGTTCCTTGCGTGAGCCACGTAAAGATTGCAATAGCGAACTGGTCAATATGCGGATACCGCTGTCTGGCGCGCTTAAAAATCACAATAACAATCTAACAAATCATCACCGCAACAGCTATACACATTTGTTGCAATCCAACTCGAATTCCAATTTAAGTGGTCTTCTGCAACCCACTGCAATGGCGACAGCGACGACTGCTCGCATGCGCATGAAACCCTCACCGACCATTTCGACATTAGTGTCAAGTGCACGTGCTGACAATGTCAGCTTACAAAGCGGTCTACGTATCAAATTTCAAGTAGCCACCGAAGAGAATGCCGACCATGAAGATTGCGCCGCTATGAATGGCAGGACGGAGACGACATCTTCCGCACAACTCCTGCCACGGCGACCCGTATCAGACATAGCATTCGATTTGTACAATCCTTGCAGTGATGTCGAGGATGAAGATGACCTGCCATTAAATAATCATCTGAATAGCAGTAAAGCACACTTGCTAGAACATAGCATAGTGAATAATATTGCGATAACCAAGGCCAATGGCTGTGATGCGGGCGGTCTTAACAGTGTATGCAGCAGCAACAACAATAGCTATAGCAATATTGTTAAGGCGAATAATGCGAAAAACTTGCATCTTGTAAACACGACTGTGCCGCCAATAGATAGTCGAAGGAATAGTGGAGCTGGGGGCATTGTGAGTATGGGTACAGGTGGCAGCAGTAACGCTGTAACTTTATCGACGGCTGCGGTGGGGACAGTAGCACAACCGTTGTTAGGAAAGATTAATTTGTAATTTAATGTAAATCATTATTTTAGATGTTACCTAAGTATGTATGTATGAAAGTAAGTATGTACGCTAGTATATAGTAGATGGGAATGGATTTTTATGCAAAGCATATAAGGAATGGAGGTGCAACCAACGCTCACCCAGTGAACGAGAACATGTACAATTATTGTAGAGCGAAAGTAACTACTTTAATTATAAGCAAATGATAGTTGTTTGAGCAATCGGTAACAATCATTTTGGAAACCAAGGCGGATTCATATAAGGTGGTATCGATTCAACAAATACAAAAATTACTTGTATGTTTTTTTAACTTTTAGCGGACCATTGTCGAATTTCAGCTATTCTTTCCTGAAAGGAAAAAGGACGACCTTATATGAATTCGCCTTGGTTGGAAACAAAGAAATTACATATGTGCATTAGGGTGGTCCTTGAATGTAGGAAGCAAATTTTTACATCAGATTTTCTAAGCCTCAACCTCTACGTCGATGCTACTATAGTCGAAGACATCACATATAAATTTTACTCCCGATTGGAAACGGTTAAGGCGTGTCGCACAGAGGTCAAAGTTCAGATTACCCTATGAAGACGTCTTAACCGACTCGAATAGGGACCAAAATTGATATGTGATATCCTCGACCTTATTAGTATCTATTTTAGGAATTAAAAAATAAATATTTTTAATTTTTTTTTAATCCATTGCGACACGCCTTAACCGTCTCCCATCGGGACCAAAATTTATATGTGATATTTGTGACCGTGGTATTACCAATTGAGGGGGTGAGACTGAAAAAAGCCTTCATTTAATTTTTTTGAGGGTCACCCTAATGTACATAGATATGCAAGTATTTAAAAACAAAAAACTTTTTGAATTTCATTGATAAAGCAAAAAAATATATATTTTAGCAATATGTGGTAAATAGTACAGTCAATCCGACTCTATTTTTTGGTGTATCTGGAAATAATTCTGCACAGAAAAAATTCTGTTCGGAAAAATATTTTTATCAAAATAAAGAAGCGTCCGCATCGCTGGAGAAATATAGAAAAATTTAAAAAGTGAATCGTTACCAATTTCAAAAACCCCGGGTTTCAATTTCAAGAATAGCGGATTGGTCACGCTCATTTTCTTCATTATGGTTATTTCAGAAATTCAGAAATGAAGTCGCATTTTTTGTACCGGTTGCCAGTTTCGAAAAATCCGAACTCTACCGGTTACCGATTTCGTAAAACAGCGAAGTAGTCCCGCCAGTTTTCTTTAAGCGTTTAAGGAGCAAAAAGGAAATTAAATATGGAGTAATTTAAAATTATTCATTTCCAAAGAAAGTATCCACTATGCTTTTCCTAAATCAGGAAGTTTCTAAAAGATTTCAGTAGGTACTGATACGTGAAAAAAAAAAATATTAAAATTAAAATATAATTAATCATGAAAAGTTTACTTAATGAGTTGCATCATCACTGGAGAGTCGCCATTAACTGATAACTATGGAAGCAGCAAGCAGAAAGAAATAAAGTACTTGGATGATTCATCATGGCACGCATATCGAAGTCTCCCTTGAATAAAAAAGTCACCCTTCAATTTGAAACTGACTACACTAACTTTGGTATTAGTAAGAAAAGTGGTGGAAAATATTGATATCGGTTTATAACAACGGCCACTTTCCAGTTTACAGTACAGTTTCAAAAACTAGAGACTGCGATATTTTAATTGTTACGAAACTGATATGTACATACATACACGCATACATGAGAAATCTTCACGCAGAATTTTTTATTTTATAAAAACCCAGCCAGAATCACTCCGAGGTTTACGAAATTGGTAATCGGTACTAAGTATTCGAATTTTTCAAATTTGTACCCGGTACAAAAACACCGATTTCATTTTTGAAACAACCATAACAAAACAATGGGCATGACCAATCTGCTTTTCTCAAAATTGGTAACCGGTATTAATAAACCCGAAGTTTTTCAAAAAAGGTAACCGGAAAAAGCTTTTAATTTTTTAAACCATCGTGAAGTAATATTTATAGCAATAAAGTTTCCACAAATTACGACTACTTGTATTTTTCTACATTTGCAAGTACAAGCGATGCAGTAACTGTGAATAAATAGTTTTTGTTTAATTAAAAATATTTGGTATCAAATTAAGAGATCGGACATTTTCTTGTTGTGATTAAAATATTTTTCTGAACAACGTGGTATCTTAAGTGCTGTATTGACTTTACTAAAAACATGTCGCTCGTTTGAAAGTTTCCAATTACCTATTATCCTCTTGAAAATAAAAATTGTTTGGCAATTTAAAATATTTTTAGGCTGGTTTTCACTATGACATATTTTGACAACAAATTTTGCCGGCATTTTCTGGCACAATTTTATCTCCTTTGTCCTTTACCAATTATATTATGGGCCAAAAAGGGTGAGATAGCCAATTTAACGACGACTAAAGAGGCATATTCTGATCTAAATCAATCGACAAACTATCTCTTAGTTCCATTTGGTAATGTGTTTTCACTTATTGGACGACAAATACCATTGAGTTTGACCTAAAGAAACCCAGCCTTTAGAATTAAAATGGCAGTAGTTTGATTTCATATGATTCCTAAGGAGTAATCAATCGACTTCTTATGTTGTGACTCGCGCCCAGTTCAGTGATCCAAGTTCAAATAAAACTTTAAGAAGCTTCCTTATTTTGTTTCAAGGAGAAGTTTTGCTTCGATTATGACGGTCTTCCGGAGAACGAGTGGCATGCAAATACATACATATATCTGTAGGTTTATCAAAACATAGCATAACTAGTTCAAAACTTCAATTAAATAGTTAAAAAAAAAACTTTAAATTATACAAATAGTTACTTGTACTCAGTTCTTGCTGAAGAACAAATGAGGTTGAAAAGAAAATGGGCCTTATGAATGAAAACTAAGCAATTGCCTTTTCGCAAAATTTTAGACCTTTTACTCGATTTACTCAAAAAAAAAATAAAATTAAGTAAAAGGTAAAAGGTCTGAAATTTTAAGAAAAAGCAATTGCTCACTTTTTATTCATAAGGCCAAATACTTATTTGTAGCAAAAATTAATTAGATATACTTACATGCTATAATATATGTACGTATTTGTCACATTTAAAAATTACTGTTGGGCAAAACATTTCAATTGATGCGACAAAATATTAAATTTTAATCGCGTAACTGTAAATGCATTTTTTTTTTCGTTTCTTAAAATGATCATCACAAATAGTTTGTAAGTTATTTAATTCGTTTATATGCTAAACTCTAATAAATGTTTAATGTTAAGTAATACTTTGAAATTATCCTTCTGCAGTGGCTGTTCGCAAAAAAACTTTAACAAAAAATTTGTATGTGTTATAAAAATAATTTTCTTTTCATTATAAGTTGTATTTATTTTTTTACATAACTGTAGATAAATTTCAATTGAAATAATAAATTATTATAAAAATAAGAGAATATAAAATAAAAAGTACAGTTAAATATTTTAAATAATAGTCTTCGTTTTTATATGTCAAGGTTTGTGAGAAGGGATGATTTTTTTTTTATTGAAAGTCAGTTTTACGATGCGTCATGCACCGTGTGATGTAACCCCTGCGTCATCACTTGTTCCGACGTGCAACGAAAACATTTCAAAAAAAACGAGCTTTGTGGATTGTGGGCTGAATGCTGTTCTCACCGACTGTAAGTGTTTTCGTTGACATTTCTTATATCTTTTATTTGAAGTTTTGGTGCAAGAAAACCAAACGAGAATCCTTTTCATTCATCTTATTTTCATTAACAACGTTTTTTCTTTTATTCTTATTTTTATTTGGCCAGTCAATTAGCAATAAATCCGAAGTGGCATATTAAAAATTGTAAAGTATGACTTCCATCCACATCGATCAATATATCGAATAGAGCTGGGATACTATCGATAGTACCTCCACTCGATAGTTTTCGAAACGATAGTTGAAAATATCGATAGTATCGATAGTACTATCGTCATGAAAGGTATTGAATTGAACCGCTCAATTGCTTGAAAATTAAATTATTAATAAATTTATAAATTACTTTGTAAATTAAAGAGATTGTATATATATTTTTTTTTAATTTGAGTGCATCAAAAATAACTTTTTATAATAATAAAAAAAAACGTATTAATTTATGCGTCTGAATTATATAACTTATATACATACCCTTGCATCCCCTTGAATAGCGACAGGCAAAATCTGAATTTATTTTTTATATGGCAAAATTGAAATCGGATTGTGGTTGTCCCTATTCGTTTAAATTGACAACTCATTCTTATAAAGGTTCAACTGAGATCAAATAGCGCTTATCAAAATACGGACGGGAAATTATTAACATTTTAACATTTTATAAGAAAATTAATATGGTACTGATCAAAATAATAGCACCACAACATTTTTTAGCAGTTTTGAATAATTTTTTTGTTTATTTAGTGTCCACTAATTTTTTTATAAAAGTTATACAAAACATAAAAAACGACAATGTAATTAAAAATTCAAGCTTTTTAATTCGAATTTCTATAAAAATTTTGTGTTAGCATTTTTATAGCTTATCAAATTTTACTATAACTCAGTGTTGCTTATACACTGCCGGAACAAAGTATTGGCACAGCAAATTTTTTTTTTCCTAAAATATCTGATTAAAATGTTGAAAATTTTCATGAAAATTTGCTGAATTTTCGCGAGTTTTGAACAAACTTTAGAAATTATGTTTTTACGTTTTTTGTTGTAGAATGGACCATATTTTTATACGAAATTAGCGGGAAAATATTAGAATGAAAATTGTTGCATTTAGTGTGAAAAGTTTGCTGTGCCAATACTTTGTTCCGGCACTGTAGTTGCTAAAAAATCCCAATGACTTGAATTTTTTTTTGCCGACTGTGTTGTGAATTTTCTTGCATAAAAAAAAATGAATGTTATGTGTAGAGATGTTTTCAACTATCGATACTATCGATATTACTATCGAGGAAGGAAAAAAGGGACTTTGCGTGCCCGGAATCAACAAATCAGTTCTGAACTATGATTTGATGTGTATTTATCTTATATAGCTAATAAATTGAGCAAATACCTACATTTCTGAACCTTTAGTGCTATTTTTCATTTTTGCATTTTACAAAATTTGCTATCGGATGTAAGCAAACAACAGGTGTTATTTCAAACTGACTTCTTGCACATTTTTGCCCGGAAAAAAGTCTATTACCCATTTTTCTAGCGTGAGGAATGCTTTCGGTGCTGTTTTGGGCACCCATGATTCAATAATAAAAGGTTTGCTCATTAGTGACATTAGAGTTTTGACACTCCCTTAGCTCCCTTACAAAAGCTTTGCACACACACACGAACCCACACACAGTACCTTGCTAAGGGAGCCGATTTTGTCAAGAGGGAGCGAGAAAACTGTTATTTGAGCAAACCTTTTATTATTGAATCATGTTGGCACCCGCGGGCTCGTGGAGAACAAACATTGTATGTATGTATTTTAGAACGAATTTCGGTCATCCCTTTTCAAATTTGGTTCAGAGACAAACTGATTTCGGCTATGTACCTGTATTAATTCTCGAGCAGAACGGACGGGTATTCATTCCAAAATACATCATATTTTATTTCATTATGCTTCATTTAACTAAATTCATCCCATTTCACATTGAACTTACCTTAGCAATCCTCATTTGAATTTTTCACAGCTCTCAACGTCATAGCAACCGCTGCTTTTAAATGCATTCTGGTTCCGAATTCGTCAATTCAAGGCAATAGACATATGTGTCTATGTACGTATGTACATTAAGGTGGTCCAAAAAGAGTAAAGTCGGAATAGTAATGCTATCACCCCTAGGATTGTTCTATAACCCTATTTTTTATTTTGAAATCAAAAAATATCTAGAGCACGCTCAAAGCGCTCAAAGTTTTCCATGTAGTTTATATGGGGGACTAACAACTTATCGCAGAAATCATATAGACTTATTGAAAATCAATATTTGTTCGATCGTAAAACTCTGTTTCTCTTCGGTAGACTTCCAATAATAATACCCAATTGTTTATTTAACCATTTTTTAATATTAAAGATTTTTTATTGGTCCCCCCATTGCATTTCCTGGGGATTTTGGCGGACCTATAAAATAAAATTACCACAAAAAATGGTTAAATGAAATGAAAAATATTGATTTTCAAGAATTCTATACAATTTCTACCAAAAGATGATTTTTTCTTATATAAAATACATACACGGAAAACCTTAAGCTCTTTGAGCGACGCCTAAATATTTTTTGATTTCAAAATAAAAAATAGGGGTGTATTTTTTCGGTATACATTTAACAATCCTAGGGGGTGAGGGCATACAAATTCCCACTTTACTTTTTCACATGCGTTTTTGGACCACCCTAATGTACATACATATCTATATTCACACCTACACAGAGCACAACATAACGGCTTTACTTGCCTTTTACTAACACTGATTTTTTTTTCATTTCGCCACCATTTTACTCTTACTACGGCTGTAAAGTTGGAGCCTGAAGCCTTTTTTATCGAACAAAATTGCACTTTGCAATTACTCTTAACCACAAATGACCATTAATAAAGCATGCACACTTTTCACACTATAATGCCTTGAAGCTGGCATTTTACATGCACTCCAACTTTGCACACATACACACGTCACTTCTTTCAATTGCCATTTTTTCACTTGGGTATTAACTGCCAATAATAACTCGCAATTCAGTTAACTTGCGATATTTCAACTTAGCTACACATTTAATACACATATTCCGAATAAGGGAACTTGAAATTAACACAAAAAATAACTTAATTCCACTTGCAAACATCTTTGCAAAATTAAAACGACTTGTACAAAGAGGAAGCTAACGCGAGACTAAAGAAAATGGTTTCCTGTTCCGTTAGCTTGTCATTGCAGGGTACAGGGTAGCTCGGCTTATCAAATTTTCAGAAACACAGGGTGATGCTTAGAAGAAATAATTATTCATCGAACGAGTGTAAATCGATTAAATATATTTAGACGTACATATTTACGTATAGGTAATATTCAAAGAAATTAAAAATTATGTATTCTTCACATTTGTTTAGTGTTAAAGTTGCTATTGCTAGTTTTTGTGAATTATACACATGAATAATCTTTCACATTGGCTTATCGAGTACCCTACAAAAGTTGCACATCACCATTTCAATGGTTGACAATTGACTTTTGTCAGCTGTGCAGGTAATTTAAACGGTCGGAATTTTGTTGCGTGTGGGAAATTCAATTTTCTTCGTTTATAATAACAAAATTAAGCATTTGTTTATTTGACATAGACGCATAGTAGTGTGCTTAATCTACAGCAAGTGAAATAAGGCTAAGTTTTTGTTTATTTAAGTGCTAATTAGCACTGGCGTGAGCCTTTGCCTGAAAATTGAAAGTCATCCCCAAGAAGAGAGACCCAAATTAAAAGTGCGTAAATAAAAAAAAAAATTGCATAATTTAACATACTCAATTGAATTTCTTTGAAATTTTATTTACAGCGTAATTTGCGGATAGAAAACATGATTTAAATATTACGAGCCTTCGCCGGAAAATTGAAAGTCATCCCCAAGAAGAGAGACCGAAATTAAAAGTGCGTAAATAAAAAGTTCATAATTTACCATACTCAATTGCATTTCTTTGAAATTTTATTTACAGCGGGATTTGCGGATAGAAAACATGATTTAAATATTACGTTTGGAATCTTTTGTATGTGTACATATGCATATAGAAGTGAAACTTGGAGGAAAATAATAAACGCAGGTAGGTTGTACATGCATGCATACATATCGCACACCGTCTTCAAAAGACACACCTCAAAATTTGGCATTTTTGAAATTATGCGCTAAAAATGTATACAGAGGTGTTATTTACCCTTCAGCAAAAGCTGTGGCAAGTTTTTGTTATAATTTGTTTAAAAAAAACCTAAGGTAAAGTCGCCCTTTCCCGTGCTACGAAATAGTTTTTCGCATTTTCTGACGAACGTATTATTTTGAGTTGTCACTCTTTTGAAGAGAAGAGAATCATCGTGAATGGAAAAGGTTCATACAAACAAAAATTTCAGCTGTCGAAGATTAGCAAAGGAACAGACTACATCTGTATGTGCTAACAGTGCATGTATTTATTAATTAATTTTGCTTCCTAGAAAGCAGAATCAAACAATTGATTGTTTATTACCCAGATTAATTATCAGCTATAAGTAATGTTTTTTCGTTAACACTCGTGCATGGCTTAGTCGTTAGTTGGATTCATATAAATCAGCGCTCAATGTTTCGGCAGGAGCTATTTAAATTGTTAATAGAGAAATGTAAATCGTAAAAACTACTAAAGCACAAATTTAGGTACATACATATGTACCTACATGCATACGTACTGTGTGTTCGATAACCAAATTCTGCGTAGATTATTATTTAATATGCTTAGAAAGACATATGTATATAGTAAAAAAGTGAAGCATTTAGGCCGCATTGATGCTCTGATTTCTAAGTATTTTCTTGCGTACGATTTAACCTCTTTCAACTTCATATATTATTGATAACATATGTGCATAAATTATTTGTGTATATAAAATAACAAAATGTCTTTAAAAAATCAAATTTAGACATTTTCTTATCTAAAAAATAAAAGAAACTCTGCGCAACGCCCTCTATCATTACATCAGAAATGTTATATTTTCCCAAACGCCCCAATTAAGTTGTAATTTTACGCTTTGTTGTGTCTGCAATGATTCATTTGCTGCATTTCCAGTGCTATGCTTATCACTCTAATGCCCGTCAAAGTGTCCAATCACAACTCAGCAAGTTTGATAAAAAAGCATATGCATAATAATATCTACTCGCATTGTATTTTAATAGAAAATAACACCTACGTAAAACACACGTTCCCACTTGTGGCCGAGTGCAAAATCATATAGAGCAGCGAGCCGTAAATAAATGTTGATTATCACATGCTGCTATTTATAATGGCATAATCAACTTAACAATATTTCTACATACTAGTTAGTATATCTACTTACTAACTTTCAGATTTTCAACACAACTGTAACAAACAAAACTATCTGAAAGATGCTCTATTGTCCGCCGAATGTAACCTTTTCACAAATTTGGATTAACAATGGCATTTCGCATTGCTTTATGGACACTGTTGGAAATGCGGTGGCGAGTGGTTTTATGCTGCTCATGGGTACAGTGCAACTATTGATGTATCGGAAATATGCCACACGCAATGATCCCACGCATATCACCAAATCACGACTCTACGCTTTACAACTCTTCCTGTTGTTCTTCTTTCCAATGTTGGCATTGCTTAGATTTTTCTTGAATGCACGCATCTACCATGATCATGCGGTTTATGGTTATATGGTGAGTAATGTAATGCTCTATGGCAACATTTGTTTAATAAAAAAATTTATTGTTGTTTTCAGATACTATCAACGTTGCTAGTTTGCATATCCTATCCCTTCTCGGTTTGTATCATAGTAAAGGAGCGCTTCTATCAGCTGCCATCGTTACCAACTCGTGGTCATGGCCTTATATTGTTGCTCTTTTGGACTTTGGGTTTCATCAATGAATCGTTAGCGTTCATAAATCTGAGGCATGAAGACTGGTGGTTCTCACTGAAAACGTTAGTATGCGGAAAATTATTTATTTGTTTTACAGCAAAATATTTTTGCGGTTATTATTGAAATAACACTATAAAAAAAATTAAAAATCTCTGTTTAAAAAATCTAAATTGCATACACGTAAATATTCCCGGCGAAGTACGTAGCTGTTTATGAATTTCCCAGGCTACACATACAATTATTTTCAATCTAACTTGGCTCAATTAATATTTATTTATTTATTTATTTTCCATGTACATAGCAATAAAGACCAAATAGAGATGAGCCTGTTCGTTACCCGCTTCATCACATCGCTACTAATCTTTATACTGGGTCTTAAAGCACCTGGTATTATGCGCCCTTATGTGCACATCGATGAGCCATCATCCACTGAGAACATCAACAACGCCAGTAATATTCCGCAAGGATCAGCTTTTCGCAATGCTTTCAAGAAATTGGCGAAACTATTTCCATACATGTGGCCAAAGAAAGATACTTTGTTGCAAATAACTGTTGTTGCCTGCATAATGCTGTTAATATTTGGACGCGTTATTAAACTATTTTTACCAATTTATCGAAAGAAGTTGGGTAAGCATAAAAGCGCTAATTGAATTAATTTAACAATAATGATCAAAACTCCCTTTCTTTATTCTAGTTGACAGTCTTACCATACCGCCGATTATCTTCCGCTGGGATTTCGTACTGATCTATGTCGCCTTATCCTTTGTGCAGGGTGGTGGCACAGGCACCATGGGTCTCTTCAATAACTTGCGCTCCTTTCTGTGGATACGTGTGCAACAGTATACGACGAGGGAAATTGAAGTCGATTTGTTTAGCCATTTGCATCAGCTTTCGTTGCGTTGGCATTTGCAGCGCAAAACCGGCGAAGTTTTGCGTGTTATGGATCGTGGCACAGATTCCATTAATAATTTATTAAATTACATTATATTTTCAATTGCGCCTACAATTATCGATTTGCTTGTGGCTGTGATTTTCTTCATATACGCCTTCAATTGGTGGTTTGGAATGATTGTATTCCTCACAATGTTCCTGTATATTTGTAAGTGATATATGTACATATACTCCGGCATATATTCGTACACATGCATCGTATTTCCTAATAAATTTTAAAATACTTGCCTTAATTCCAGTGGCCACGATTCTTGTTACAGAATGGCGCACCAAGTTCCAACGTCGCATGAATTTAGCAGATAATGAGCAGCGCGCACGCAGCGTTGATTCGCTGTTAAATTTTGAAACTGTAAAATACTATGGTGCCGAACAGTATGAAGTTGAAGAATACCGCCAGGCCATTTTGAAATATCAGGTAACTACATCAAAGCGCCTTTACTGCATTATCATTGTTTTCATTATGTAAAAATTGCCTTCTGCAGAAAGAAGAATTCCTCTCCATGTTAACGCTCAACATGCTCAACACTTCGCAAAATATTATACTTTGCCTTGGGTTGCTTTCTGGCTCGATGCTTTGTGTATACCTTGTCGTACATCATCAAACGCTCACTGTCGGTGATTTCGTGCTGTTCTTCACCTATCTAATGGATTTGTATATGCCGCTTAATTGGTTTGGCACGTACTACAGAGCAATACAAAAGAATTTTGTCGATATGGAGAATATGTTTGACTTGCTGAAGGAAGATCAGGAGGTGTTTGATGCGCCGGGTGCTGCACCGCTTATAACCGCCGGCGCTGGCATTGAATTCTCTAATGTTACATTTGGCTATACACCGGAAAAGATTGTATTGCGCAATGTTAGTTTTACTGTGCCTGCTGGTAAAACCGTTGCGATTGTGGGACCTTCCGGTGCGGGTAAAAGCACTATTGTGCGTTTACTTTTCCGCTTCTATGATGTGCAATCTGGCGCAGTGCTAATCGATGGACAGAATATCAAATTAGTGCAGCAGCAGAGTTTGAGAAAGGCAATTGGTGAGTGTGGCAAATCAGAGTTATGATATCATTAGGTTATTATAGAATGAAATATATTCCGCCTTCACCGTAGGTGTGGTACCACAGGACACCGTACTCTTCAACAACACCATTTACTACAACATTGAGTATGGCAAAATTGGCGCACGTGCCGATGAGGTTTACGAGGCGGCTCGCTTGGCCGACATACATGAACGCATTCTTGGCTTCCCTGATCGCTATGAAACCAAGGTGGGCGAACGCGGTTTGCGCTTGAGCGGCGGTGAGAAACAACGTGTCGCTATAGCGCGTACTTTGCTCAAGGCGCCAGTGTTGGTGCTACTCGATGAGGCTACGTCAGCGCTTGACACTAACACCGAACGCAATATTCAAGCGGCATTGTCGCGCGTCTGCGCCAATCGCACGACAATTGTAATTGCACATCGTCTTTCCACAATCATAAATGCCGACGAGATACTCGTGCTAAAAGATGGCACCATCGCAGAACGTGGACGTCATGAAGATCTTTTGCAGCGCAAGGATGGTATCTATGCAGAGATGTGGATGCAACAGCTCAAGAACTTGGAAGGTAATAAGGAGAATGAGGCAAATGGTAGTGCGACGGCTAAACCACCGACGGATGGTGGTGGCGCCTTTTTACGCACCGGTCATGCACATGGTGGCGCTCGCTGAAGTCGCTAGACAATTTTGCAAGTGCTTATAAATTATTATGTATATACTTTATTTCTTGGCTGACATACGAAAGACGCAATATTTTAGGGAAAAGCTATTTATGTATGTAACTAGAACTGTTATGAATGGTGTAGTGGTATGTTATGGAACTGTATGCGAAAATTGCAGTTTGTGGTTTGTACAATGAAACATTTTAGAGATATGTATTAGGATGCTACTTAGAAAAGAATAAAATAAAAACAAAACTCGTAAAAGAAAACTTGCTTATTTATGGTTATTATCATGATACAAACATAACAAGGTAAAACCATTGAGAGGCAGTCAGTTGTATCATGGTTATTATAAAATTTGGACATTAATATATATTTTAAATCATTTATTTTTGGTTATCGTTGCCTCCGACATGTTTTATTAATTTTTTTTCGTGACATACCAGTTTCTGGACAGATCCTCATGGTAAATCGTGAAATTTGAATTAGGCCTGCTATTGCTTCCAGCACTTGGAAGCAAAAAAAAAGTATCGATATCAAGATTTTTATTTCTATCCGTTTCTATTATGTGCAGCTCAGATTTTATAAGTCTAAAGAGAGCACAGACAATTACTTTTATCAATTCTTGTTGTTATTGGGCCAGAGTAACGAAAGGTGGTAATTGGGCTCCGATCACGGTATTCACAAGTCGAGAGCTGTGATAGGTGTTGGCCGACTCTCCATGAAGCTGTTGAACACTCGTCGATACCTCGGCAGGTCCAAAGTTTGTTCCATGTGGGTCTGTACCATGTCCATATATTCCAAAAAATTCCTTATGACTTGCCTGGGCAGAGGCTCTTCCTCAAGCAAGGGCCTATAGGGGTACTCACGTTTTTGGCATTCCACCAAAAACTGCTTGCCAGCCAGATGGTCCGCTTCCTCATTACCTTCGACTCCCATGTGCCTTAGTACCCATAGCAATTGGAGGGTATTATTCTCAGCCAGAGCATTAAGCCTCCCTACACACTTCAGAAACACTGAGGATTTGATCTCGAAGGATGAGACAGCCTTGAGTGCTTAGCTTAAAATCTGGATCCTTTCGCTTCTATACTTCCTTCGAAGGTTAATCTCAGCACACAGACTTATGGGATAGACTTCCGCTTGAAAAATGCTGGGTAAAGTTCCCTGGGGCACCGAAAGCTTCAGTCAAGGGCCATAAACACCTGCTCCTATCCCCTCAGGAGCTTTAGATTCATCTGTGTACCACGTTAATGTGCTCGCCTGGACGTGTGTCTCCATAATATAGATACTCCAGGTCGCCTTGCTATGTGTTTTCAAGTTACAGTTTCTTTCGTTAAAGATTACTTTATGCATTTCGTCCCTGGAGGACAGAACTGGAGGGAGCTGGGAGCCCAACCTGTTCCTGTTCCAGGATAACAATGCTTTACCTTTGCCAAATTCCTCTCCAAGCGGCGAATCTTGGTGTGGGACTGCCTCACCGTTGCTAGCGTAGTCCTGGAAGCCCAAGCCACGGCCCCTTAGGTTACTGGTGGTCTTACTATGGTGTTCATCCATCTAAGGATCCTGGAGTATTATTCGCTAGACGTTTTCACTCCATCAGCGTTTTCGTAGCCCTGTGGCTTACCCATTTCAAAATCTTTGCTGATGGCTTTAGAGCTGACCCCGGGTCTAGATCGGTTTAATCTTAATTTGTCTCTTGGGTAATATACCGTGATATTATTTATTTATTTATTTATTTATTTAGCCAGGTATACGCAAGCCTAAAACCATAGGTAGACATAGTAAGTAGAAAATCTGTATGTAGGTGAAGAAGGTAAAGAGGTATGGTCCATTTGAAACATCTGGCCATCAGGAAACGGCCTGTTTTGTAGTGATTGAACCGAAGGGTGAGGGAGTTTAGAAGAGTTGCTGCGAACAAGCATGTAGAGAGAGATGGGGTTGGTATCCTACGAGGGTATATCGGTATTAGTTCTGGATAATAGAAGTTTCTTCATCGTTTCTTTAAGCACAAGCGGAACGTAGAGCATTAACCTGCTCATATTTCTGGCATTTGCTTGAGCTCTTTCCAGCCAAACCCGAGTTGCTTCTCCTCTCGATTCATCGTTCTACTCCAC